CATTGTCTTCATATGACATTCTCCCTGCATGCAGTCTGTCTCCAAATTTCCTTTTTATATGAACAGCAGTCATAATGGAGTCAGGCCCACTATAATGACCTCCTTTTAATTTGGTAAATACCTTATCTTCAAATAAGGTCACCTTCTGAGTTACTGGGGGTTAGGATTTCAACATATGAATTTGGGGGGGTACCCAATTAACCCATAACAATATACACTATACAGGTTTATCTAAATTTCTGAGAAGCCTCTAGGTTCTAAAGGGGCAAGTGGGAGACATATTCTAGGGCAAAAGGAGAAAGAACTAAGAGCAGCCAGCAACTCTCAACTCCACTCCTATTATCCCAAAGAACGCTTACAAAGAACTCCCCAGCCTTCTCCACCTTCTATCTGTCAGAACTTTCGCCCATACCCTTCTGGATAACATGATTAATAATGAAAGACAACATTTATTGAGCACTTATTATGTGCTAACAACTTTGAAGGGCTATATCTCTATCCTTGTAACAGCCTTCTAGGTTAGTACCATTAACTGACAACCACAGAAAATAAGGAATGTACTCAAAGTGTACACAGCTAGCAAGTAGCAGAGCTGGTGCTGGAATAGGATAACAATACCCAACTCTCTATTCCTATATTGTTTTAAAGTTTTTATTCCAAATGTTTACCTTAGGGACAACTTGGAGATTTATGTAACACAACTTTGAATGACTTAGTGCAGAGAACTCTGGGCTGTAAATCAGAAGACCTCCTAGACCTCGTTTTGCCAAAAGGTTAAGATATGGTTTTGGTGAAGTCACTTAAGGACCATGAGACTTATTTTTCTAATATCTAAAACAGGCATAAAACAGGATCGTTAATCTATTCAAAACATTGTTGGATTTTTTAATAGATCACAAAAAAGCTCTTTCAAGAAAATAAGTTTTTATTGTCTGTCTTGGTTACTTCTGAATACCAAGAACCTAGAATACTATCTTAAACACAGTGGGTACTCTTATATTCTGTTGGCTTGGGGAGATATGTGTAAGAAGAGATGTTATGGAGACAGGGTAGGAGTGGCAAGGAACCAGAGATAGGAAAGATTACAGCTAGGAGGCAAAAACCCCCAAAACCCAACATCATCTATTTCATAATTAACAAGTATGTATGTCTAAGGCCAATCCCGGCATGTTTACTTTAATAATTAGACATAAAAATGTCTTCTATGGATTGAATCTTATAATGCCACTTTAGCTATTTTCTGTGGCTTACAAATTATTGTTCAGTCAGACATAAGTGTCTAGTAAGACTAGCAATGGGAAAAGAAATTTAAAAAGCAAAAAACCTTAGGACACACATGCAGTAGAAGATTAACGTTACTGAAAGAGAAGTTTGGTCTTTGCCCTAAGCTGCTGGGAGGTAATCTCTAAACCCTTGGAATATCCTGCGTGATAAGAGTATCTTTGTTTACTTTGGGGTCTTGGGCCATGCCAGATAGTCTATGTTAGCAATGTAATTTATGGCAAGGGTACTTTGGGCCATGGGGTATCAGTTTGACCTCTGGAGGGGCTGGAGACTAAAATCAGCCCATGTGGGCAGTGAACCAGGCCTACATGAATAAAAACTTTGGTCCCAATAAAAACTTTGGACATCAAGGCTCAAGTGAGCTTCCCTTGTCAGCAATACTGTGTATGTATTATCACACATCATTGCTGGGATATGTTAGCACCAGCTGCACCACTCCACTGGGAAAGGACAACTGGAAGCTCCATGATTGGAACTCTCATAGATCCTATCCTACATACTTTATCTCCTGGCTGATTTTAATTTGTATCCTTTTGCTTCAATAAACTGCAACTGTGAGTATAACAGCTGTCAATGAGTTCTGTGAGTTCTTCTAACAAATCATTGAACCTGAGGGTGATCTTGGGAATCCCTGAACTTCCAGTTGGTGATCTAGGGTGCTCCTGAACTTTGCAACAAGTGTGTCCTTCCTTTGAACTAGGTTGGTAGACCATTTCCTCACATAATGGTATTAATTCTTTGAAGTCCTGCAAATGTAAAAGATAGAGGAAATATTCAAGCAAGGTCAAGAGGGATACCCCAGTAAAGTCTTCCAGACATGAACCTCAGAGGATAAAAATATATTGTTACTGTGGGGACAAATGTTGTCACTTGAGGGGATAGACATGAAAACTTCGCAGAGTTGTGGAAGGCAGTCTTGCATTGGTGGGCATACTTGGGCAGAGAAGAGAAGAATAAAGTGCCACTACGCATTTGTACTTAACCTCTCTACATGTCCTTGTGCTTGTCCAGGGCATTTATCTAGTGAGATCAACAGATACCTACATCTGTATCTATGTTTATATCTATAGCTATAGCTACATCTATAGTGATAGCTACAGCTATAGCTTGTTTTGCCCAAAGGCTAAGATATATCTATATCTATATATCTGAAAAAATACATATATCTTACATTTTGACCCATCAATTTCACTTCTAAGAATTTATCCTACAGTAGTTTCACATGTCTAAAATGACATATATATATGGATATTTATATAGTGGAGCAGTGCTTATTATAGGAAAAAAAATGGAAATAACCTCAATGTCCACCAGTGAGGATTAAATAAAGTACAGTATATTTAAATAACGCTATACTATTCAGACAGTAAGCAGAATAAGGAAACCTTTCATGTATTGATAGGGAACAATCTCTAAGATTTATTAAGTAAAAACAGCAAGGTGGAAAAGAGATATAAATTGTGCTACCATTTACACATAGAACATAACATTTGCTTGAATATTCATGTAGTATACCTTGGCAGGCACATAAGAAACTAGTCATCTTGGTTATCTCCAGGGAGAAAAATGGATGCAGAATAGGAATGGGAGAAAGACTTTACTCCGTATACCCTTTTGAATTCTGACTCGTGAGAATGTGTTATCTATTTAAGAAAAATGAAACTATTAAAATGTAAAGGGCATTTGTAAGTCATTTAAATGGAAGTAAGTACATTAGAAAAAATGTACAGCCACCTTAAACAACTTTTATATACATTAAAAAACTAAGCTAATTAAATGAGCAGCAAAATTAAACCACAGCTACAAAATTCTATACCACATCCCCTTATAGATTCCCCTTCTATTTTTATTTTTAAATGTTGGCAGGCACAATGGCGCGCCTGTAGTTGCAGCTACTCAGGAGTCTGAGGGACAGGATCACTTTAGCCAAGGAGTTCTTGGCTGTACTGCGCGGTGAATCGCCCCTGTGAATAGCCACTGCACACCAGCCTGGGCAACACAGCGAGACCCCGTCTCAAAAAACGAAAAAGGTCAACTCACAAACACAAAAAATGCATACAATGCAAACATTCATCAGGGGTTCTGTCCTAGATAGGAAGGTACCTACATGATACATGATTTTAGACGCTCGGAAAAGAGACCTTTAACCTCTAAATACCTTCTCTGTTTGCAGATGCTGCAATTCCAGTGTTCTTCGGCGCCCTTAAAAGAGTGGCGATAGTAACGCTTGTCCTGCCTGTCCACTTTGTAAACTGCGAAGGACTTGGAAAACCGTAAGGCACCACACGGAAATGAGAGATTAAGGATGGGATCCCCTGGGCTAGGGAGGCCCTGAGCGGTGGCCTGGACGGCACTCCCTGGAGATTAGAGGCCCACACACAGCCTTCCGGCGGGGAGCCCGAGGACACGCCTCCCGGCCCTGCCACGTTCTGATAGGCCCACGAGACCGAGGCTCCAGAGAGAGCCGCGGTCGCATTGGCCAGCCCGCGAGGCCCGCGCGTAGTTTCCTGGGAGATGTAGTCCTGGGGGGCACTGGCTCCCACGACTGGACAGTCTGACGTTGGAGATGTCGGCCCTACGACCTGACCGTGGTGGTAAAGAGGTGGGTGTGTTTGGAGAGGGGATGGGGAGAGTGGCGAGGATTCAAATGAAAATACCCAACGGCCCGAAATGAACGATAAGGGAGGGTTGCGGACTCGCAGACAGGTACGTACTTACTTCGAATCGGGGCGCAGAGTGTTGGGTTGGGGGGAGACGCAAGCTCCACGGCCAATCAGACCCTAGCAACTGTTGCCAGGCCCCTAAGGCTCCGCCCCCGCCCCCACCCAAGGAAGGGAGGAGCTCGGGCTGTTTAAATGGATTTGGGGTGGGGTGGAGGAGAGCGCGGCTCCGTTGGCTACCCTGCTCCGGTGATGCTGTACCTGAGGCTTCGGGGGACCTGGGGGCGGCCCGGTCACGGCGGGTGGGCTGGGGTCCCGGGCCCGCGCCCCGTCTCCCCTCCGATTGGTCCGCACGTTCCCCGCCTCTCGGGACGGGCGCCTCCCACCCGCTGCGAGGCGAGGACCTCCGGGATTCCTAGAGAGGACTCGGAAGTGCTCTCGGGGGTGGGATTTAAGGTTTAACCCGGTTGGACAGGGAAAGCTTGGACTTGCTTACTTCCGGCGTGGAAGTGTTGGCTTCGATTTTCTCTCCGTTTTAAGAAGAACCCCACCTTCCCAGCCTTGCCTGCGGGGAGCTCGATCTTCCAGGAGACCTCCCTGAGACTGGGGCCTTGAAGGGAGGGGATGGAACTTTGTGTCCGGACGGGGGTCCTGTCCCTAACCTTGAGCGTGCCGATCTTCGTGTCTCCGGGTCAGGGGCGATTCCAAGCAACCCAGGTCTGAATCTGTACCTATAGCGCCGCTTCTCTTCGGGATCAATGAAGTCTCTCATTGGCCTGTCAAGCTCTTGTAGCTTGAAGGACAGCACCAATTTTGACCATTGTAATGTTTTTCACCCCTATTCTGACTTAAGTTTGGCTTATGGTAAAGAGAAGGAGCGGCTGCATCTGGACTAGTTAGTAAGTCTTGTCCCATTGTTTATGTGAAATGTAAAGTTCACCTCTAAAACTGTTTTAGGTCGGGCCTGATGTCACATTTGTTATGGCTCTCCTTTACATCCCTTAAATGTTGGAGATATTCTCCGTTAGTAATCATTTTATGGGTGGAGTGACGGCTGCCTTGTAGTCCATATTTTTAAGAAAATTACTTTGTTGAGTGGCCATCGTTAGTATAGATGATCTCTTTGCCATCTCTCTTTGCTAATAATGATTCCCAATACATCAGTAGGTTGTACGTTACTGAAAGAGTCCTTCAGATTTTAAAGAGCAAGAAACAAGTCTGTTCAGTGTAACACAGCCTCGGGAGATTGCCCTCTGAGTTGGCATGATAATGACAGAATCCCGGGAAGTTGTAGACTTAGACCCTCCAGCTGAGACTTCACAGGAGCAAGAAGACCTTCTAATAGTGAAGGTGGAAGAAGAAGACTGCACCTGGATGCAGGAGTACAACCCGCCCACGTTTGAGACTTTTTACCAGCGCTTCAGGCACTTCCAGTACCATGAGGCATCGGGACCCCGGGAGGCTCTCAGCCAACTCCGCGTGCTCTGCTGCGAGTGGCTGAGGCCGGAGCTGCACACCAAGGAGCAGATCCTGGAGCTGCTGGTGCTGGAGCAGTTCCTGACCATCCTGCCTGAGGAGTTCCAGGCCTGGGTGAGAGAACATCACCCTGAAAGCGGAGAGGAGGCGGTGGCTGTGGTAGAAAACATACAGCGAGAGCTTGAGGAACGCAGACAACAGGTGAGTCAAAGAACAGACATAGGAATGGTGAGGAAGGAGAGGAAAGAGTTAAGGAGCTGCTGGGCAGGGGTGACATTCTTAGTCCTCTAGTGCTTTTGTTCTCCTGGGATTAGGTACTGCTGCGGAGATTTCCTGCCACTCCAGCAAAGAGAAGCAATATCCAGTATGTTAACCTGTAGAAGACAATCTGGGATCTTACTTATTTTTTAGATTACTGTATTTATTTTTTCAATTATATACAAAATTCAAAAAGGTACATAATAAGGTTGTAATAAAAAGTAAGTTTTCCTCTCACCCTAATTTCCCAACTGCCATGTTCTCCTCACCAGAGGCAACCACTGTTACATGATACTTGTATATCCTTACAGAGATATGTGTTCTGTATATATATGCATATATGTACATGACATGTTTTAAAACACACACACAAATGTTTTTAAGTTACTGTGCACTTCTGCCTTTTTGATCATATATCTTGGTTTGTTCCATGTCAATGCAGCTAGAGCTGCCTCATTCTTTGAATCCACATTATATTAACTCCTACTGAAGGAGTTTGAATTGTTCTATTTAAGTTGTTCCTTTAGATCGTTTTAAGTTTTTACTGTAACAAACTTTGCTGCAATGAATACCCTACATATATCTCTCCCTCAATAATTGTAGAATGAATGCTTGTAACTCAAATTGTTGGTTCGGAGGTACATTTGTAATTTTGATAGCTGTTGACAGATTACCTCCCCATAGAGATTATACCAATTTATATTCCCACCAGCAATGTATGGGAGAAATTTTTTGGCCACAGCCTGATAGCACAGTGTTATCAAACTTTGTGGTTATTGCCAATGCAAAAGATGCAATGTTGCATTTCTGTGCAACTTTAATTTTCATTTCTCTCATAAGTTTGATCAATACATATTTTTAAGGGCTATTTGTATACCCCTTTTTGCAAATTATCTGTTTATATTCCTTAGCTATATTTCTTACCTAATAGAAACAATAACATTATGTCTGTCATGTGAGTTGCAAGTGTTATTTTTCCAGTTTGCGGTTTGTCTTTGCATATGGAGATTTTTGTTTTGCAGGTTTTTAAATTTTTATTTTTATTTTTTTATTTTATTATTTCTAGAGATAGGATCTCACTGTCACCTAGGCTGGAGTGCAGTGGTGCAATCACTCAAGCGATCCTCCTGACTCAACCTCCAAAGTAGCTGGGATTATAGACACCTGCCACCATGCCCGGTTAATTTTTTTATTTTTTGTAAAGACACAGTCTTGCTACATTGCACAGGCTGGTCTTGAATTTCTGGGCTCAAGCCATCCTCCCACCTTTGTCTCCCAAAGTGCTGGAATTACTGGTGTGAGCCACCACACCCAGTCTTCGATTTGTATACGGTTTAACGATTTTATTTTATGGTTTCTGGGTTTTGTGCCATACTTAGATAGACCTTCTTCATTACAGTATTGTAAAAAAATTTTTTTCATAGTTTATTCTCTACTATTTTTCTTTTTCTTTTTCTTTCTTTCTTTTTTTTTTTTACATTTTTAAATGATTGCTCCATCTGGAATTTATTTTGATGTAGGGTATTTGGTGTGGTTACAACTCATTTTTTTCCCACAAACCTATTCAGTTGCTCCCAGCAACTTTTATAGTAATCCTTTTTTCCTCTCTTCTCTGATAAAATGCCACCTTTATTACATATTAAATTTCTGCATGTATTTGGGTCTATTTCTGGTCTTTCTATTCTATTTTATTGTTTTTACTGTCTGTTTATGTAGCAGCATTTTAATTATTTGAGCTCTGTGAAATGTTTTGGTATCTGGTAGGGTTACCCTTACTCCCTCCAAACTTTTTTCAGTAATTTCTTTTCCTTTTATGAACTTGAGAATTACTTATTTAGTTTCCATTACTCCAAAATCCTGTTGGTATTGCATTAAATCATATATTAATTTAGGGGAGGATTGGTATCTATATGTTGTTGCATCTTCTTGTCCTTTCCTATACTCATTTATAACCTGACCCCCTACCTTCCTCTTGCTGTTAGGCTCATGCTCTCCTAAACTTTAATTTCTGTTTTTCATAGGAAAGAATCAAAAATCATGAGATCATGAGTTTACAAGAGTTTAAAGCTAGTCAGAGATTTTCCATCATTCTTTAGAGCCATTGCATTTAAATGTAAGATACCGGTCTCATTGTTCTTACTTCTGGGATAAGGGATACTTCAGCGTTCCAGAGCTCAGGCTCTTGGGGTGGTTTAGCTTATTCCATCATGCAGATAGCAGCAGAGGAAGTGGCTACTGCCCCATGACCAGACCCTGCAGCTGTCCTGAAAGATTCTCCTGTAGATGGGAATGTTTGGACCTTTCCATTGCTCAGTCAGGGCACAAAGTACAGGTTCATGATGACATCCACATTTATTCCTTTAACCTGATTTGGGACACTAATGGACAAATTTTCCTTACTGTTTTACAGAAATAAATATTCAAAAGCATAGTTTAAAACCAAAAGGATTTTTAAGGTGGAGACTTTACAGCAGATATTACATGTTTACCTCTCTCATTGTGATATGCAGTCCATCTTTGGAAAGAACGCATAAAAATCATTTCTTGGTGGCAGTCAAGGATTTTAGGCCTATAGAGGGGATTTTTCCAAGGGCTTCCACTGCTCACTTTGTTTGCCTTTCCCTCTACCTGCCTTCTGGTATCCCCAACATTGCTCTTGAACTTTATCTCCGAGCAGTTTTGTCTCTGGGCAAGTGTTTTCTTGGGCTCTATCCTGCGTTTCTTTTTCCTCATCCCAGCGGGCCTCATGGGCTGCTTTGGTTCCTTGATGCCAAGTGCCCTTTAACCTACTTGGAATCACCTTAACTCCTGTTCTGAGTGGATCCACCAGGACACACACACTTCCACACAGAGTGGTATTTGCCACCATTACTTTGCAGCTGCCTCGTAATGTAGTTTCTGTACCACATTTTGCCAGTACCAGGAGGATTAAAATTTAAAATGCTTTGAAACCTAAAGGAGGGGCAAGGGGGATTGCAACTCTATCATAGTGCAGGGTCTTATTTCTCTCTGGCATGCTTATTACCTTCCAGAATATGCAGATTTCTAGGGAGTGGCCGTGGCAGAGTAATTGTGCAGCCCAGGGTTGAGTAAGAGCCAGGAGCAGAAAGGTGGAGGACTGTAGCATGCTGGATGTGAACTGACTTAAGTCTTAGTGTTGATCTGTCCCAATGCGACTTCCTGAGTCCTGTGGTGCCCTAACCTCCTTTTGCACCTCTCTCCTGCCTTTACTAAATTTTAGCCACACTGGCCTTAAGGTGGTTGTTTCAAACACTTCCTTTCTGCCTGAGGGTGTTTTCTAATGTTTTCTCTGCCTGAGTCACTTCTACTTTTCTCCTGGCTGGCTTCTTCTCATCCTGTAGGTGTTTGCTTAAGTGACACTTCCTCAGAAAAGCCTTTCCTGGCCTCCCAGTCTAACGTAGGCCTCATGGCACCAGGTTCTTCTTTCTCACATTTAGCACAGTTTGTAATTATCTATTTATTTGTTATGTTGATGTGTTTAATGAAAGTCTTCTCCAACTAGAAGTCGTAAACCACTGTAATGGCTTATTGCAGATGCACTTTAATTGTTTGGCAAGGGAGAGAATGAAAGTCTAATGTAATTCGACTGGATTCTTTTATAGCCTTCCCTGTAACTGTGCTGATTGGTTGTGGTTGTGATTATTAGATTGTTGCGTGTCCTGACATGCTTCCTCAGAAGATGGTACCACCTGGAGCAGTGCAAGAGCCCTTCAGTCACCAGCCCCTGTCTGGGAACACCCAGCCTGAACAAGAGCCACAGAAGCCTCATCTCCTGGAGGAAAATGGTGAGGCTCAGCAGTTCAGTGGAACACACGTGGATAGAGAGTGGGTACCCTGGCCACATGGCAGGCACCATCTGCAAGAGAGCGACTGTAGATGGGGAAGGGCTGGGGACCCAGAGTTGAGTCCCTGTTGTTAAGAGAGAGGTCAGCTGATAGGATGGCTAGGAACTACACCAGTTTTATTCAAAAGCTATAACGCAGATGATGACAGCTCTAAGTGTGGGCGCTGTTAAAAGATCTACAAAAGTCTTTTGCAAAAGTATCACAATCATCTTACAGCAGTTTTTTACCTCTTCCTCATAGATTTGTTATCTTAATGCTTATATAAAAAAAGCTCTCCAGTTCCTAATTGCGTTCATTTCTGGCTGCTCAGGCATTCACCTTGAAATCTTACTTGAAGCAGTTTTTTCACAATGACCTTTAGAACATTTATTCTCTCTGATAAGGAAAACCCCCATCTGTTACTTGGCACATCAGCCATCTGAGACCTCCACCCCTCACAGAAGACCAGCATAATACTAACCTATTACCTGACCCATCAACTAATCTATTACCTGGCACATCAGCATAACACTAAATCTACTACCTGGCTCATCAGCATAACACTAAATCTATTATCTGATACATCAACTAACCTATTACCTGGCACACATTAACCACCTGACACCCTACACCCTAGACCACCACAACTTAATAAAAGTGGGAAAAATCAGGTAGACGGGGCTCAGAATTTGGTGGCGAGGCCCCTCTGAGCCTGCCAGCGAATAAACTTTGATTCTCTGACTCTCCGTGTGCTGCATGGTTTGTCCTCGGGAACACTTGCTGTAACATCTCCACCCCCTCAATTTTACTAACCTGCCTTCTGTACATCAAGGAAGACAAGTTAACAGCTGTGATTATCGTATTATATGTCTACAAATCCATAATCCCTTTATAGAAACACTTGGTGTCAGATATATTTTGGAATTCAGAATTTTGCAGATTTAGTAAGGTGGTATGATTCATATATCACACATTACACTAGCAGCAGGATTTGAATTGACATCCACGATCACATACATTAATATTTCTGGTAGTGAAATATATGCAGATTTACAATAAGTCGATTAAATAAAAGAGTTTACATAGTTTCACATCAGTTCAGGTCAATTCTTGCTGTCAAATTAGTTCAATGCCTAGCTTAATGAAAAAAAGAACCTTTGGTATTTACAGCTTTTGGATTTCAGAATTGTGGGCAAGGGACTATATTTTCTGTTTGGTTCCAGACTTTCTTCTAGGCTTCCTTCATTGGTCAGGTCATTCCCTTGCCATGCCCCACTGCCCTAATTTTTTCTAGCTTTACTTGCACTGTGGTAAGATGACAACAGCAGCAGCAGCTGTTACTTATAGAGTGCATACTATGTGCAGGGACTGTTGTGAGCATTTTACCTGTATGAACTCATTTAACCCTCAGTATACCAGGAAAAATAGTTCTTACTATTTGCCATGTGGGGCCAGTGAATACTTTCTTTTTTTTTTTTATTTTTTCAGCATATTATGGGGGTATAGATGTTTAGGTTATGTATGTTGCCCTTGTAGTGAATCCTTTTGATTCTTTTATATTTTTAAGTCATTTTGTGAATAATTTACAGAAGAATCAAAGGGTAGTATAAAGCAGCTTCTTAAAAGAAATTTTAATATATCAAGTATATTTTAATGTACAAACATCATAAAAGGTGAAAGAATACTATCATATAGTACTAGTACTGTGCTTTTAGCAAAATACTACGTGATGAAGTCCTGAAGTCCTCCCTGCTGAGTGACTCGCTGGATGAGAATGCCATATTTCCTTTTGGAAATTAGAAATACGTGTATATTATTGATTGTTGATATTGATTTTGAGAAAATCTATCTAGGATTCGAAGATTCATGCTTAGATTTCCCTTACACTTTCAGTTTCGTCATTATCATTATCCTTAGAGAGTGCCCCTATCTGTCTGGGTAATCTTCTGAACTGCCTGATAATAATGAATGTCATCCCCTACAAATTTTCTTCTCTTTCGCATATGGACAGCAAATGAAAAATTCTGAATTCTCAACTGTGTTCAATGAAAGCTGGATGTAGGTATCAACAATCTTTTCTACCTTCTTGAAGAATGATACAATACTTTGGGCAACACATGCAGTATTTTGAGAATAGTGAAGAATGATGATTTATTTCACTATTCCATGATCCTAAATATCTCTTATCTTTCATTCTTATTGGTCTTTTGTGGCATTGTTGGGAATAATTAATGTCACAGGATGATAAAATAGAAAAATGCTTCAGGGTATAAGAAAAATCAGATAACACAGATCCCAAACTGTGTCTTACATTTGTGCAAGTGTCTGACGGATCTGTATAGAAATTACAAGATGAGGCCGGGATAGTCTCATTACTGGCTCACGTCTGTAATCCTAGCACTTTGGGAGGCCAAAGAAGATCGCTTGAGGTCAGGACCAGCTTGAGCAAGAGTGAGAAATAGAAAGATTAGCTGGTTGTCGTGACATGGGCCTGCAGTCCCAGCTACTTGGGAGGCTGAAGGAGGAGGACCACTTGAGCCCAGGAGTTTGAGATTGCAGTGAGCTATGATGACACCACTGTACTCTAGCCTGGGTGACAGAGTGAGACTCTGTCTCAAAAAAAAAATTACAAAATGAAATAAGTTTTATTCTATTTATAAAATAAAAATAAATTTCCATTTTGTTCTTTAGAAGACCTCAAAAATAATAAAAGCTATATTATACTGACCTTAAAAATATTTAAAACTGCTCAGAAAAGAAACTCAAAAACTGAAATTGTGTCCAGTACACTTTGTTGGTATACCAACAATCCTGTAATAACTCTGTGAAATTGGTATTGGTATCTTTATGTTAGAAATTAAGAATCTGTGGCCTAGAGAGGTTGAGTAATTTGTCGAGGGTCACAAAGCTATTAAGTAACAGAGCTGCAGTTTTAACCCAAGCAGTTGACTGTAAATTCATATTTCTCCCCTATTCTGAGCTTTTCACCTTTGCTTTACCACTAAGTTCTCCCCAGCACAGACTGCCACCCTCCCTGAGTCATTCCTGGTCCCTCCACTTGCAGAGTCTCACCAGATCAGGCTCCTTTCTTCTTCTGTTCCCAGGTGCTGCTTATCTTTGCTCTGTTAACCCAGAGACCCCAGCCCATTTCTTTAATTCAACAAAATTACCATTCACTCAGATATAGACTCTTTTCATCACTTTTGTCAAGTCCTACTTTGACTCTTTAGCCTCTCCTGGTTTCAGGTCCCTTCTCTGTTTTTTACTTTCATCTCTCACCATTATCACCTTCTTTTTGTGCCATTGCTCCTTATTTCCCAGTCATTGGAAATCAGCAAGCCACATATGCATGGAGATCTCCAGGACCGAGGAAACCATAACAGGGTCTAAACTATTGGGTTAAGGGTTAATCCCAGGCAGGTCTGTCCAAGTCAGGGCACACATAGCCAGTCAGATCCAGATATACCATGAATCCGAGACGCTCTAGGCATTGTACATGCTATTCCCTCTTGGGGAAAGCACCCCATCTCCCCCACGCCATCCTCACTGCCCACAGTCACTTTCTGGGGAAAGGCTTTTCTGGTGCTTCTGCCTCTGTGTTCCTACAGGAATTTGAGTGAACTTCAATTGTAGTACTCCTCACACTGTGTTGTAAGTAAGACTTACATATCTGTCTCATTACATAGCAGTTTTTTAAGGGGAGAATTGTTTTATCTGCCTATTCGTATAAGACAGAGTCATCTTAATAACACACTTCTTGACTGAGTATAAACCGTGGAAATTCCTTGAGGGGAGACTGGACTGAGGCCTTGCTAATCCAGGTGTGGTCTAAGTAACAGCAGCACCGGCATCACCTGGGAGCTTGTTAGGAATGCAAAACATCAGGCCTCACCCCAGACCTCCTGAGTCAGAATCTGCTGTGTCCGTGATTTGTTTGCATGTCAAAGTTGAGAAGTCCTGGGCTATAGATAATGCTTCAGCTTCATGGAAGATGAGGGACTTTGGTGGTTCTTTGAGATAATAGATTTGATCTTGGTAGAGCAGAATGCATCCTTTGTAGGGGAAAGACAAGCAGGGATTGGCCTGACCAAAGTAGGGAGTCTGGTTTTTTGTGAGAAGGAAGAATAGTAGGGTAAATATGGGAGGATCCAGAAAGTAGGTCTTGAGAGCCAAGCAGAAGAATTGAGCCTGGGAGCAGCGCCCAGCCATTGCAGAGTCATGAGCAAGAGAGGAGCATCGTGGCAATGAGAACTGGGCAGAGATATTCTCACTTAAACCTCTTTTTCTTCTCCCTCAGCCCTGCCTGTTCTCCAAGTTCCTTCCCTTCCCCTGAAGGACAGCCAGGAGCTGGCAACTTCAATTCTCTCAGCTGGGTCCCAGGTGAGCTGGTGCCCCTTTGCCCTCAGTGAGAACCCATACCTTGTCTCTGACAAGTACCTGCCTTAATCCCAAACCTTTCAGTTCTGTTTCCTTAACCAGTGACCAGCCCTGTCCTGGGTTGGTGCCTTCATGAGCTTTTGTCTTTTCCCTTCTGCCCAGTGCTTCCCTGTCCTCTTTGAGCCACAGTCCCTCCCTTTTTCTTTCCTTAATGTGCCCAGTTCTTCCCAAATTTGAACCTAGGCAATGGGAATTTAGTGGAGATCTCCTGTTTCAGAAGTTGGTGAAAATCGAAGATGTGGCTGATGTGGCTGTATCCTTCATCCTGGAGGAATGGGGACATTTGGACCAGTCCCAGAAGTCCCTTTATAGGGATGACAGGAAGGAGAATTATGGGAGTATTACTTCCATGGGTAAGAATGACTGCATCTGCATGGATTAGGACAGCTTAATTTTGCTATTTTGTAAAGAATATTTCCAGCACATCCTATAAAAGCATGTATGTTTTAATTGCTATGACTTTGCTTATTTTTTTCTGTGAAAGAATAAATCAACCTCCTCTTTTTGTCTTATTTCAGCTTATTCTGATTATTTCTATTTAAATAAGAGTGTGATTAACACTGATAGTACTTGAGGGTATAGTTTTTGCAATCCAGCAAAGCTGTTACTGCTTTAAAATAAAAGAGCTTAAAATTATCAGGTTTGGATTTTAACAAATTTTTAGTAGTTATTATACTCCTTGATAAATTGGATAATTTTTAACAGAATAATTTTGATTTGTGAAAACATCTCAGACTTTGCTGAATAACCATTCATCATAGTAGCTATTACAGTATCTCAATAGCATTAATTCTTTTTTCCCTTTCTTCCAATGCATGGATGTCTAGTTGTTCACTGCGTTACCATTCTCAGATCATCGATACTTACTTTATGATGTTTGCCTTGGCATTGGCATGTTACACATCACATTGCTTCTTGAATTTTATGCCCCTATTTCTAACTAAGTTATGATCCTGAGAAGGATAATTATTAATAGCTCCGAAGAGGTGCATTGGACTAATCTGATTTTTTTTCAAATTCACCCCCAGAAAAAAGAAAGTCATATGCTTGTTTGGTTTGTTAAATGGGAGAGAATTCTAATAAGAATAAAATGTTCCAGCACAAGCAGATGTGAATAAAACAGAGGAAAAAAATACTATAGTGCTGGTATTACCTGCCTAGTTAAATGGGAGAGGGAAAAACACTTAAAATATTTGGGTTTGTGGTAAGGTGTTTTTAATAAAAAACAAAAAATGTGCTGTTAAAATGTTTCCACTGTTAAAATGTATTTTTAGGAAGAGAAGTAAAAACAGCTATACAGTAAATTAAAATTAAAATCATTTTCATGGCCAGGCTGTAGCCATACAGGGCTCACGCCTGTAATCCTAGCACTCTGGGAGGCCAAGGCAGGAGGATCGTTTCAGGGCAGGACTTTGAGACCAGCCTGACCAAGAGTGAGACCCCATCTCTACTAAAAATAGAAAAAATTAGCTGGCCAACTGAAAATAGAAACAAAAAATTAGCTGGGTGTGGTGGTGAGCGCCTGGAGTCCCAGCTACTTGGGAGGCTGAGGCAGGAGGATCACTTGAGCCCAGGTGGTTGCTGTGAGCTAGGCTCATGCCATGGCACTCTAGCCCGGGCAACAGAGTGAGACTGTCTCAAAAAAAAAAAATTGTCTTCATGGTAAAAGAATTATAATTTCTGACTGTGTCAAAAAAGGATAATGATAGTACCTACCTTATAAGGTCATCATAAGGATTAAACATGCCATTAAACTCTAAAGTGCCTAACATCGTGCCTGGCCCATAATACGTACTTGGCAAATGTTAGCTCTTATTACCATTATTATGTAACATTGAAAACTCTTTCTTTTCACAAAAAAATCTTATTAGGAAATTCTCAATAGGTTATGATCCCTTTAGTATTTTAAAAATAATATTCCTTATTTTTTATGATCTACTGAAGATTTGTCTCTATGAACCATAGTAAACTTTAGTGTTTTGAGTGAAACATCTGTTGCTGATGTGGGTGCGCAAGGGCACTGATTACATTCACTTAAACACCCGCGTTCATCGGTGACCAGTGAACGCTAACCTAGCCCTTGAAAACAGTAGGTTCTTCTCTGGGTATAGAAAGAATGTCTTTTTTCCTTTAGACTAATTCATACCAAACTGAAATCCTTTGGGGATGGAAAGAACTAGAAAGATCATCTTCTCCACGCTATGAATTCCCAGAAAGAGGAAGGTGAAGACAAGGGTTAACTGCATAACCTAATAACAGATTTCGTTAAGAATATGTAATAGCACACAGGTACTCATGAATAGGTACTGTATGTAAGCACCAGACCAGGAGGACATGCTCTTCATTAAACAGAATGACCACTCCCCTGTCTCTTTCCTCTCAACCACTCTTGCCAGCTCTCCCTTCCCTAACCTGCCTCCATTTTCTGCCTGAATATTTTTTATCCCATCCCTTTAGTGTAAAGTCATTTTACAAAGTCATGTGTCCCTAGCACATACTGGTTTCATTTAATTATCCCATCATTTTCTTTCTCCTAATGCAGTGAATAGCTAATTTTTTCATTTTCCTTCTGTTATTTCAGATTATGAGTCCAGAGACAACAATATGGAGCTCATAGTAAAGCAGATTTCTGATGACACTGAATCACATTGGATGACATCAGGAAGCACTGAAAGGAATGTTCCCCAGAGTCAAGAGTTTGCAGAAGTTAGTGACCTTAAGGGCATGGTACAAAGGTGGCAGGTGAACCCCACGGTGGGGAAATCAAAGCAGAATCCATCCCAGAAAAGGGATCTTGGTGCTATCAGAGACGTTAACCGTAAGCAGAACACAAATGGTGAGAGAGGTCACAGATGTAATGATTGTGGTAAATTTTTCCTTCAAGCCTCAAACTTTATTCAACATCGGCGCATCCACACTGGAGAAAAACCATTTAAGTGTGGCGAATGTGGGAAAAGCTATAATCAGCGTGTTCACCTCACTCAGCATCAGAGAGTCCACACTGGTGAGAAACCCTATAAGTGTCAGGTGTGTGGAAAAGCTTTCCGGGTGAGCTCCCACCTGGTTCAGCACCACAGCGTCCACAGTGGAGAGAGGCCCTACGGATGTAACGAGTGTGGGAAGAACTTTGGCCGGCACTCACACCTGATCGAACACCTGAAACGCCACTTCAGAGAGAAATCCCAAAGATGTACGTGTGAGGGGTTTGTATTCAGGGAATAAGTGGAGACAAAAATTGTTTTATTAGTAGTTTTATTAGTATGACAGGACAAATTGGTGATACTGAGGGAGCAGTAGGAAGAGGCAAAGATTACAGTTTATTTGGTTCTTATTTATATTTAAATTTCTAATAGGCAAAACCCTATGGCCCCCACCCCTCATCCCTTCCCCATAACTTCCCTTTTTCCAGAGCTATCTACTCTCAGCTCTTATTTGTTTCTTCTGGAAATTCCATATTTTAAAATAATACTACTGTTGCTTGGCTCATCAATTTTAGCCATTCTCTGTTGACTTTCTATTGTAGTAAATGAAGATTTAGCTCTCTTACGTGCTTCTTTCTCTCTTCCCCTTTTCCTGATTTAGTTATGTTACTTATTTCAAAATGAAAAAATAACAGTAGTACAGGAAGTTTGGAGGAAAGAAAAGAGGGAGGGAAAAAAATCACCCGTAATCCCACCATCCTAATAGAACTATTAGTATTTAGTATATTTCCATCTACCTTTTTCCACAAGCCTGTTTTACATAGTTGTACTCTAAGAGTACACATAAATATTAAACACACATTTTAACAAAATGTGTGTTGCTCAGCCTTCCTGTTTGTTATTTTTGGCAATCTGCCATCGTGTGGCGACATCATAATTCACTGTTCTTTGGTTGTTGAGCTTCTGATTTTTTCTTCTTTGTCCTGATAACTGTGTTATGCCAGTGACTTTTCCATATTTGGAATTATTTCCTTATAATAGATTCCCAGAAGTGGGATTAGTAGATGAAAGCATAACAATATTTTTATGGCCCTTGATTGCTTTTTAAAACAATTGCACCGCATGTGGTATCGGTTTACTGAATTTTTCCAGGGTTATTAAAAAACTTTTTTTAACAAATCGAGTAAGCAGAAGAGAATTCCTTGTTGTATGTATTTTCATTAATTTGGTTATGAATAAGGTTGAGTAATTTTCCTGTTTATGTATTTTTAAAAATCTGTTCAAGTGACACTTTTACATATGGATGAGATCATTGTAAACTGTGCGGTGAATGTAAAAGCTTTTATTATTATAGTATACTTCAGACAACTCTAAGACTGGCCAAAGATTTTTTTTTTTTTTAATTATGCCTTGATGTCCCAAGCCTAGCTACTTGTAATTCACATTAATAGCCACTGCCATGTCCCTCTTCGTGGTATAGAAGTTTATCAAGTTCCTAGTGTCTCAAAAGTTCTGGGTTGAGCTGTACTATCTCTATTTAGCAAGTGCCTCACTTGGGAAATCCCGTCCAGTAGTGCTCTGGACTTGAAAAGCAGTTGCTTTAAAATACTATCTTTTCTTTTATATCTTCCCTGCAGTTGTTCCTATGGCTAGTTTCCCAGTTAATACCTACCTCCCCCCATTGTTTTGGATCGAAGGAGAAACACTTTGTTTGCTCATCCAGCTACATTTATGGGGAATCTCCAGTGCTAGGTGCTCGGGATCTTTAATGAACAGAACAGAGTTACAGCTCATGCCCTCTTGGAGCTGGTGGTCTGTTGAGGGTAGCAGATAGTAAAGGTGACAAGCATTCCCAGAAGAGAAGCATGAATTGCTGTGGGAGGAAGACTGAGGCCAGAGTATTGGCTAAGGGTGAGCAGGGCAGGGATAGCTATTATTACCCACCCTCTCGACAGTATTTTTTGCTGGCCCATTTCTTTTTCCTGGCTCCTAATCAGGTATTCCCCCAACTCCCTTGTATAATCCTTTGCTCCTGTTCTTCCAGTTTTTGTCAATTCTCACCGTCCAATTGTGTATTTTTCTACTTCATTCGTCTCCCTAACTCATGTTGGGGTAACAAGTCCCTCCACATTTCCTGTCTTCCTCCCCATTTCAGAATAACTTTCTCTCCTTCCTATATAAAAGAAATTTTTTACTTTTCCCTATTATTGCATAGCTGCAATCATTCTCACCACCAATCTAAGTAAGCCTCTTTTTTGTCTTGTTCTTTTCATTGGACAAACACCAAAAGTTAGTTCTTTTCACTCCTGTTGGCATCAAGTATATAACATGCATTACCTCTGTTACTCCTGCTACATCATGGGCTCATCTGACTGTCCTTTTTTCTGAGGGGCTATTTTTCTTCTGTAAAAGAACCGATGGCATTTGCATTTCCTCTTTATTTTTCTAGGCAGTGACAAAAGAAGTAAGAATACCAAATTAAATGTTAAGAAGAAAATTTCAGAATTTTCAGAAGCAGACATGGAACTATCTGGAAAAATCCAAAGAAATATTTCTCAAGTTCCAGATTTTGGAGAAGGCTGCGAACACCAAGGCAAGGTGGATAGAAAACAGGGAATTCCCATGAAAGAGATACTAGGACAACCCTCTTCAAAGAGGATGAATTGCAGTGAAGTCACATATGTCCACAAAAAATCTTCCACAGGAGAGAGACCACATAAGTGTAATGAATGTGGGAAAAGCTTCATTCAAAGTGCACATCTTATTCAACATCAAAGAATTCACACTGGGGAGAAACCATTTAGGTGTGATGAATGTGGGAAAAGCTATAATCAACGTGTGCACCTAACTCAACATCAGCGAGTCCACACTGGTGAAAAACCCTACACCTGTCATTTATGCGGAAAAGCATTCAGAGTGAGGTCCCATCTTGTTCAGCATCAGAGTGTGCACAGTGGGGAGAGACCCTTTAAATGTAACGAATGTGGGAAAGGCTTCGGGAGGCGTTCACACCTTGCTGGACATCTGCGTCTCCACTCCAGGGAGAAATCCCATCAGTGTCGTGAATGTGGAGAAATCTTTTTCCAATACATTAGCCTAATTGAACATCAGGTGCTCCACATGGGTCAGAAAAATGAAAAAAATGGCATTTGTGAGGAAGCATATAGTTGGAACTTGACAGTGATTGAAGATAAGAAGATTGAATTACAGGAACAGCCTTATAAATGTGATATATGTGGAAAAGCCTTTAGTTACAGCTCAGACCTTATTCAGCATTACAGAACTCATACTGCAAAGAAAACCTATAAATGTGATATATGTAGAGAAAATGTTGGCCAGTGTTCCCACATTAAACAACATCAGAAGATCTATTCTAGCACAAAATCCCATCAATGTAATGAATGTGGAAGAGGCTTCACTCTGAAGTCACACCTTAATCAACATCAGAGAATCCATACTGGTGAGAAACCTTTTCAATGTAAAGAATGTGGAATGAGCTTCAGTTGGAGTTGTAGCCTCTTTAAACATCTGAGAAGCCATGAGAGGACAGATTCCATAAATACCTTAAGTGCATAGGCGTATCTATTGTAGAACATCTCTTATTCAATTTTAGAGAAGGCTTCCTGAAAAGAAACCTTATTCCTGTGATGAGTGTAATAACAACTTCAAACATTCTTCCAACTTATCCATCAAACCTACAGATATGTTGAAATCCTTGAATTAGAACTCAGCCTTCAGGCGCACTGGAGTATCCACAGTACATAGACACCTGTTTGCTTTCCTCATTGAGAAATGCTTTAGTTAGCATCTTCGTGCTTGGGAATCTAGACAAAAAGAGAACCTACGGACATGGTGGATGAAGGGAAGCCTTCAGGTGACACTCATACTTTATTTGAAACTTAGAAAATTGACACTGGGAAAAGCCTCATGAACACAGTAGAAATAAGCTTTATTTGTAGCTTCTGCCTTGTTTGACAGCCTATCTATTCAGGGAAGAGTGTGGTGAAAGAAAGAATTTTTCAGCATGATATCCGTTTTGGTACCTCAGCAATGCCCCTTTTCTAGAAATGATCATCCCAACCACTAGAATACTCCAGTCATTGTTCCCATCTTGAGTATTAACCCCGTTGAAAAGAAATTGACTTAAGATATCTATATTTTGGCAAGATTGGGGTTCAGAGGCTGGAAGGTATGTGTTCCTGCTGCCTTATTCAATCTACAACTTCTCTATGAAACACTCAACCTTGTTTTTGTTCTGATTTTACTAGCATCAAGGTTAGCTCATAGAAGGAGGAGTTAAATTTGTAAATTCAGGAGAAACTGTGCTGCTCGGTCACATCTCAAGATGAAGGAAGAAGGACCTTAGGGGAGCAGAGAAGAGAAGAGAAACAAAACCGTGGACTGGTTTATCTTACAGTACCCACAGGAGCAAGGGCAGCTAAATCCATGGGCAGAATTGGGCCAAAGCGAATGAAGAATCTTGGTCCTAGCGGTACGGCTGCTGATTCCCAGGTGGCCTGGGGATAGACCTCCCCTGTAGGGTAAGGGAGGATGGAATGAGTTTCTGTTTGCTTTGCAGCTGGAAGGGAAAGTAAACAGTAACGAGGAGCAGGCAGGTACATGGTCCCATTAACCCTGCCTCGTGGGAAGGTCTGGGTAGGAGTTGTGAGGGGAAAGAAGATGACTTGGATGAGAGAGTTCACTTGAGCCTTCTTGGTAGAGAGAGGGAGAGAGTGTTTCTGGGCACCATGAGGCCCTGCTCCTGCTGACTTGCCTGGCTTACAATAAATGCCCAATAAATAAATATTTGTTGATTGTGTTGTATGCTATGGTGCCCTGTGCAGACCCCTTTACCAAGCTGGAACACTCCTCCCCAGCTGCTCTCAGTTTGGGCAGCTAAGTGCTTCCAGCTCGCCTGCTTCTCTGGAAACTGGAGATTTGGCTTCAGAAGATGGGAACTGCTTCACTTGGGAGTTACCTCCCCTCTGTGCCCCCCAGCTGATGACTGATTGATAAGGGGTGCACAAGGCTGCTTTACTTGCCTCAAGGGTGAGGGAAAGCTGGTGCAGTTTATACTCCAGAATCCTGGGATCAGGCCAAGGCTAGACTTTATCCAAGCCTAGATCCACTGGGCTCCCTTCCTTCTCTGTCCTGTTTCATTCCTGCCCTCAAAGGCTTTTCCCAAATTAGTCATGCCCTTGATAAATTCACGTGGCATTGACTCCCTGTCTCAGGCTCTGCTTTAGAGACCCTGACCTAAGACATTTGGTGCCATGAGTGGTCCTAGGAAGCTGACTGTAACAGTGGGTTGTGCAGTTGCTCACTCACCGTGAGACAGTGAGGACCTCGTGACTGATGGTGGGTGGAGTATTGATGGTCCCTGGCGTGTGGTACCTGCCAATCACTGAGACATTGGTGAATTGGGACGGGATAAGGGTAGAAAGGGATGTACTGACTTGTGTAAGGTTTGGGACAAACAGGAAAATGTAAGGATTATGGAATTGGATAGCTCTTGCTGAAAGCGACTGACTCCTTGAAGAGAGAAAATAACAAGGTAGATGACCACCAATTTAATGCAAAGCCTGCTTCAGAGGGCCTCCTTGGTAGCATTTAAAGAGACCTTCATCTGCAAACAGAATCACAGAACTGAAGTTCAAGTATAAGAATGAATAATTGACTTAATTAATCCTAGCACTTTTGGAGGCTGAGGTGGGAGGATCTCCTGAGGCCAGGAATTCAAGACCAACCTGAGCAAGAGTGAGACCCTGTCTCTACCAAACAAACAAAAACAAAATTTAGCTGGGTGTGGTGATGTGTGCCTATAGTCCCAACTACTTGACTGAGGCAGAATTGCTTGAGCCCAGGAGCCTGAGGTTGCAGTGAGCTGTGATGATGCCAATGCACTCTAGCCTGGGTGACAGAGCACAACCTTGTCTCAGAAAAAAAAAAAAAAAAAAAGACTTGAGAATGATAGAACTTCAGCAAAGCTCTGGTGGGGAAGAGGTGGAAGGGATGGGATGATACGGGTAGCTGTGCTTGAGCACTTTAAACTCCTAGGTTCCCTTGAACTCTGGCCCTGCAAAAGTGGCCCACATTGTTGGAAAATAGAACCTTTTCCTTTGCGGGAAGAAGATGCCTCAAATGAAGCAGGCAACACACAAGATGATGCTGACCCTCAGAATCTACCCCCGCCTCCCTACCTGTCTACCATATGCATTAGAAAGAGGATATTAATGGAAAAATAGGTGAAACATAAAGTTTGCAGTTTTGTTAATAGTAACACATCAATCTTGGTTTCTTAGTTTTGACAAAGGTATCACAATAAAAATCCCCTAATTAATACATAAATTCAACACACTCCCAGTCAATATCCTAACTGGCTTTTTGGTATAAACCGACAAGCTAATTCTAACATTTATATAGAAATGCAAAAGGCTTAGCAGTGAAGACAACTTTGAAAGGGAGGAACCAAGTTGGAGGAGTTACATTACCTGATTTCTTTTTTCTTTTTTTGAGACAGTCTTGCTCTGTTGTCCCAGCTAGAGGGCAGTGGCGTCATTGTAGCTCACTGCAACCTCAAATGCCTGGGTTCAAATGATCCTTCTGCCTCAGCCGCCAGAGTAGCTGGGACTACAGGCACATGCCACCATGCCCAGCTAACTTTTTTTCCTATTTTTTCGTAGAGACGAGGTCTCGCTTTTGTTCAGGCTGGTCTGAACTTCTGGCCTCAAGTGATCCTCCCACCTCAGCCTCCCAAAGTGCTAGGATTACAGGCATGAGCCACCGTGCCTGGCTTGTTTTGGTTATTTTTTACTATTTAGAACAGATATTTTTAGAGTATACGTAAGTGACAGCCTGGTTTTCCCTTATTAGTTAATCTTTAAAAGTTTCCCAAGAAGGGGAAAATGAAAGGGAAAGAAAGAAAACAAAGTAAGGTAGAATCAGTTTTAGATAGTCATACAATTAAGAAGCCAATACTTATTTAACCCTAAAACATAGAAACCAAGGAGGGTATGTCTCCTACGTTAAGTAAAATGATCTCTTCCAGAGACAATAAAAATAATCTCATGAGGGTTATTTCCCTTTTTAAGGAACTTCTCAAATGAACAATTCCATTCATGTCCAAAGTTTTCCCCGAAAGTGGCCACTGTAATTCCAAATTGTCCCTGGTGAAACTGTGCTAGTGAGATACATGTGAGTTATACTATAGTGAGAAAACATGAAGGAAGCAGGTATTTGGTCCAGAAGAGGCAGGATTTTTGATTGAGAAGGCCCCACAAAAACTGTCATGGTCCTTAAGAATGGTGCTTGTGCAGAAACTTGCAACCTAGAACTTGACCAAAGGCCAATTTTCACCAACCAACAAGACAGACAAATCTTAATTCTAGATAGAGGAAACTAAACAAAGCAGTCCCCAAGGACACAAAGATAAGACTTCTTTTACATGGTCCATTTTGTCCCTGTCTTGGGTCAAGTTAGATTCTATTAAATACTTCACAGGGCCCACACTGCTCCAACTGTACCACCAAACCCTAACACTTGCCCTGTACTGAAGTGTGCAAACTCCTAGTTTCAGTTGTGGTTCTCAATATAGCTCATGGAAATTTTCATTCAGTACCTGTTGATTATTTTGAAGTTCTCAGGTCTGTAAGATGCTCGTTACTTCTCTTACACAGTGACTTGAGGTCATGTCATTTCACAACTGTTGGTGGTACCCTGTTACCTGATTTTACTACAGACGCTATCCACGGGTTTCAGTTTTGCAGTCCTAGTTGCCATGTGTTTTCAAGGAGGGATCTGGGGAGATTCAAAAATTATGCCACTACCATCACTATCTTCTCTCTGGTGTCCTTTTTGATAACCAGGAAAACCAAAGAAATAGCCCAACAGACTACCTACACATCTCATTAGCTAGAATTATAACACATGCTGTTGCCTAAATAAACCCCGAGTCAAGGAGGATGGTGTTAATCCTCCTTTGATGGCCAAACCTAGATTAGCATCAAGACTCACTTCCTGGAATTAGAATGAAAAGGGAAAAGCACAGAGACACCTAGAAGGCAAGTAACTGAGCATAAACAGGGCTCTGCCAGAAAAGAAGCAGCAAGGGAGCAGTGCTAGACAGGGGAATAGATTTAAGTATAAAAATAACATGTTAAGAACATTATTTTTCAAAATTCTTGATAGTAATTCACAGAAATATTAATATATTTTATATCACCATCTTGTACACACACACACACTCATGTAACTGAAACAAGTTTCATGAAACAATACTATGTAGTAAAATAAAAACCTAGTTAATTCCAAATATAATTTTATTAACATTTAAATACAACATACCAAAAAAAATCCCTTAAAAAGTACAAACACAACATTTCGTGAAGATTTTATTTAATGTGATGGGTGTGCTTGCCTGTTCATAAGTTCCTTCCAGTCGGGAACGCATGAAGATAATGCTACCCGCATGTCTGGTGCACTATTGAGCCTATTTCTTTTCTTTGTTTTCAATCGTGTCAAGATTGAAAATCCTAGTTCACACAAATACGTAGTTGTGAATGGTAATAACAGCAATATACTCTTACTACTCAGCAATGGAAATTCACCTTTAATCTTAATCCAAAATGCTGACAAACTTAATGTCTTATAATAATTCTTCAGTGTGAACGATGAACTGAGCTGTAATAATTCATTCTCTTCTTCAGGCTCCAGGTTTAACTCAATTATTGATTCTGGGTTTTGAAAAGCAAATGGATCTTTCATCCAAATATTTTCCTTTAATGATTCAAATTTCTCTTGTGGAAAGTAATAACTAAAGGTTTGAGACAAAGAGGTAAGATGCAACAATATCTCTAATTTTATGTCTTTTAAGCAGTCTTCATTAATAATGTTCTCTTCAATGTGTTGCAACAATGTTGGGAACATATAGTAGCTGGGGTGATTACTTTTAAGTCTTGCTTGCCACAATGATAATGTTTTTTGGAATCCTAGAATATGTTCAAGATATTGAAATATGTCATTGTTTTTCCCCTGTATTTTCAAATTTAATTCATTAAAAATGCCAAAAATATCACTTAAATATGCCAATTTTGTTACCCAAATGTCATCTTCAAAAATATTTGCCAAATGAGATTGCTTTTCAATGAGAAAAATGTAAATCTCATTCCTGAGTTCATATACTCTGCTCAATACTTTTCCTTGAGACAACCAACGAACTTCTGTATGAAATAGTAAGTGGGTATGGTTAACTCCAATCTCTGAACAAAATATTTCAAGAAGTTGGCTGTTCAATGAACTTCCTTTAATAAAATTAACAATTTTCACTGCATTTTTCAATACATCCATTAGACTTGGTGGAATTTCTTTGGATACCAAAGCTTCTCGATGAATAAAACAGTGATTCCAAAGAGCATTGTTATGGGTTGCTTCTAACAATTTTTCAATAACTCTGCTATGTTTTCCAGTCATATTTGCTGCTCCATCACTTGAAATTCCTTTACAATTTTTCCAGTTTAATTTATACTGACCAATGATGCACTTTTCTAGTTCGTTAAATAAATCTAATCCAGTTATATATGAATTTAAATTTAAAAAACATAAGAGATCCTCTACAAAATCATCTTGCCACACATATCTGACATAAACCAAGAGTGTTGGACAACTTGCAACATCAGTACTCTCATCAAGTTGTATTGCAAAGTCTATACCAGACTGTAGCCGTGTAATGAGCATTGCTTCCAAATGTTTTGCAATAGTACAGATTCGACGAGA